TCCTAAGCTCATTGAAGTTGGCCCTTCTGAAATCAAGGGCTTTAGCCTTGGTGTGAGCCCTAGACACCCTGCGTTGGATAGTGAAATCCAGCAGGTGATGATCGCTATTGCCCAGGTGGTCAAGGACCTGCAGTCCCCTCACCAGGTCATCCCTCATGGCCAGGACCAGGTCCATCAAGGCGTTACCCCTAGTGGGGCTGTGCACTTCCTGGATAAGGTGAAGGTCCTGTAATACAGCCAGGAACCTACACGAGCAGTCAGACCTGGCTGTCTGCTCCTCCCAGCAAATGTCTGGGTAGTTTAGGTCACCCATGACAATAACATCCCTTGACCTAACTGCCTCCATAAGCTGACTGGAGAAATCCTGGTCTAGTTCTTCCCCCTGGTTGGGTGGTCTGTAGTAGACACCCACTGTATGGTCCCTTTCGCCACAGTAACAACACAAACAGATAGCTGTTCCTTTGTTTGTCCATTATTTTTATAACTTTCTCATCCCAAGTTGTCCAGTCCTCAAGTTCCTTACCTCATCTTTTGAGATAAGGTACTCCAGTCCTATTCAGTTTTTGGTTTTGTTTCATTTTAGGGAAACTTATATACCTGGTTCACCTACCATACCAGTCACAGCACTCACTCACTTTTCCCACTGCCTTCTAAGGCAGTCTGTACAATTTTATTGCTTAGTTCTGGGAAGGCATAAACTATGGCTAAGAGCCTTAGCATAGCTCAGTCTGCCCACTATACTAATAAGCCATAAAATTGACTCCTTCAGTTCTGCCTTAATAGAAATGCCACTGTTGGTATTCTAAGCAGAAAAGCAGCTTTGCTGCTTAAGATATGCATCACAATTGTGGAAAGCCAATGTGGGTGGGGGGGGAGGGGTGTATTATTTGTGAGTAAATATGGTAGATGTAGGGGATGTTGGTGAGATTATCAGCATGTGGTGTGGGCATTACATGGTGTGGTTATGTAACCTACTACATATTCACCTTTTATTCTGAGGTCTGTCAGTCCCTATGAAATTAGATACCCATACGGATTATCTTGTCCTGTTTACATATCCCTTTATCAAAGAACATATATTTACTTGTTACAGTTATAGTAGATGTATGTCATGATACAGCCACTTCTGGGATGGCCATGATGTCCGTAGGGCACTGTGACTGTGCCAGCTCTGCCCTATGGGCACCTACTAATCTTGCCTGCCACAGCTTGCTGATATAAATGATGAATTGGGAGGATGCCCTTGAGTTGCTGCCCAGTCACAGTCCTGACAGACTCCTCTAAACCCTGTGGGTTGCTAGACCCCATTATTGGGTCCTACACTCAGGAGGTGCCTTATACCATTAAGCCTTATGGGCAAGATGCAGGACTCCAAAACCACCCCTTTATCGCACCCCATGTCTCACAGATGTTATGTAGACATTGTCTTCTTGTGTTGAGGCCTCAGCTTAGTCCAGCCTCAGTAACTGCGCCCTCTCACACTGGGGTCTGCTCACCCCCTGTCACTGTACCCTCTCTGGCACTGGGGTCTCCACACTATAGTGTGTCCCAATTAGGCCGCCTCCTCCCCCAATAGCCTCAGCTTGGTCCACTGGTTTAAATAACAACAGGAAGCACAAGCCTCTGGGCTACAACACAACCATAACATAAGGTCCTCACTCCAACCCCTTTTAGAAGACAAGCTTCTCTTTCAATTTACTGGACCTCCCCTGGCCACCAGTACCTATGAGCTCCTATAGCCCCTTAATCCTACCAGAATCTGGACAGGCAGTCAAGCATCTCCACTTAGCTTCCTCTATGAGAGCTCCTTCCCTCTTGGCTGCTGCCAGGGAACTAACTCTCTAGTCCCAGCCCTGAGGTTTATGTGCGCCCAGGGCCCCACCTTCTTCCAGTCAGCTGACTGGCTGCAGGTACAGGCTAATTCCCTCATTGGCCTGCTGCCACAGTAACCTGCACCTGTGGGTGTTCTGCTGGCTCCTAAGGCCCTCTCTCCGGGCAGTTTCTGCCCTCAAAGGAGCAGGCGTCTTAGTGCCCTGCAACAATTTACGTGTGATGAACAAATATGAAAAGGTTATCCCATAGAGTTTGTGACCAGATTTTCAGAGGAGCTAAGCAAGAGCACTCTGCTTTCCCTTTAACTTTAGTGTAAATCCTGAGTATTCTTCTCCTGTGAAAATTAGACCATTAACAACCACAGTCTCTTCACTGTAATACATTACCATGATATAGACTCAAACCATGAACTGCATAGCAACACATTTTTAACATTCCAGAGCTCTATGGCAGGGGTGGCCAACCTGCAGCTCCAGAGCCACACATGGCTCTTCGGAAGTTAATATCCATCTCCTTGAATCTTTGCACAAGCATACCAGCTTCCAAGTGGAAATGCATATTAACTTCTGAAGAGTTGCATGTGGCTCTGGAGCCGCAGGTGGCCCCCCCTGCTCTATGGTATTTCCAACTAGGATTTCTGTTTAAGTGCATCTTCCAAACCAACTGTAGTGTAAGTGGAATTAATCAGATCATGATATTCAGATACAGAAGTAAGGAGGAAAAGCATGATGTTTGAGATGTTTATACTTGTACCTGATTATAAGATCATAGGAGAGGAGGCCTGGAAGGGATTTCAGTCCCTGGAGAAAGATGAGTCATTCTTGCCACATACTGATGTCAGCTGTTTATGAGGAGACAGCAGCAGTGAATTGCAATGGAAAACAGGGATAGGGGAAGGAACAAAGGAGCAGAGAAGAAAAGGGAAAGCATCATCAATCATTCACATCCAAGAGAAGGCTACCAGCTAATCTAATCTAACCTAATCTAATCAGATATTTAGGGGCTTATCCTCATTCACTGAAGCCAATAGGACATTTTTTCCATCCACTTCTGTGAGACCAGCATTTGGGCATATGATTTCTGCCATATGTTAAGGAAGAAGCATTATATAAGAAATCATGAAGCTCTGTTACCACCTCTGTACACATAGACTCCACCATTGTTTCTTTTAAGCACCATTTCTGGATGTCATTTTCTTCTGACAGTGGCTTTACACTAATATAATCCTGCTGATTTAATCAGTTGCTTCTTTTTCATACAAAAATCAGAATTAGCTTACCTTGATATTTCATAGGTCATTTGGTCAGGGTACTGAACTTAGAGGGTGTATGCAGCTTCCTATTAAGAAGTTGGAACAAGTTTGTAGCTGGCCAATTCTTTATTGATTTCTAGAAGTCTCTTCTATGTTAACGCTACAGCAGGAAGGGGAATAAAAGCTATAAACACCCCTGTCTGATCAGCTACTTTGTGTACTTGCCTGACAACCCTGCATATACTAAGCAAGAATTTTTTTTTAATAGTCATCAGCAAGTGTTAAGCAGGCTGTAGGAAGCCGTTCCTGGTCAGTGCACTTTGGCAAACATTAGTAATGTCTTGCATGCAAGAAAAGCATATGTCCCATTTTGTAAAAGCTTGAATTTACAAAACTTGTTATAGAACTGCTTGTTAAGTTGATCTTCAGGAAGCACAAAGCTTGCATATAAAGATGCAGTCCTCTGAGATTCTGACAGCTACTACAGGGTGCTCAGCCACCTGAACTCCCACTGATGTCAGCTGGAATTAATGTTTAGCACACAGCTGGTGGGACTCAGCACCTCAGAAGAACCGGCCCCCAAAAATGCAATGCAGAGTCTTCATATCCAGATTTTATTTCCCCTGGAGGAGAATGAAAGACATTATTAATAAAAGCAAATGAACCAAAAATATGGTACACTCCACTAAATCTGACAGCTGTTTAATTATTAGTGAACACCTGTTGATTTTCCTGAAGGCACTGAAGCAAGTAAACTAAGGTGCTGAAAAGAATGAAACAGGATGTCAAATGAAGACATAAGGTAAAAGTAATGAAAGAATTAGATGTATTGCAATAAAATCCCAAAGGAGTTTCATTAAATCATCTATGGAATAAATAAGAAATATAATAAAAATTGTCAATGAATGAACAGCATTTGACATTCAGGGTTTTGGTACCAATGCAAATGAAAGGGTTGAATCTCCAAATGGGCACCCATAGCTTTGAGATGCCCAAAATTGACTGACAATTTTGAAATTCTGAGCATAAAGTTATCTACAATACAGTTTTCCGCACCTGTCTCTTTCATTAATTGGATAATAAGACATATCTCCAGTGACTTAGACTAAGGTATGAAGTACAAGTGTTAGGTAGCGATAATACCGCTGGATCGGAAATTCCTCTGCATACTCCTAGTTTTGCCTGCTTAATATGTGCTGCATGTCAGCAGATTATTCGCGTCTTATAGGAAGCATGGGAAGTTGGCCATGAAGATCTTACGTACGCTTTACTACACAACCTTGACATCTTGAAGTGTTTTTTTTTCCCTTGCTCACTGTGTTTCCATTCATGAAATATCTTGGAATATATATGTGATGGCTTATACAGTTTGTGGTATTTCTCAGTTCTTTTAAGTAAAATAGGTAGTTTGGTGGGAGTTTTGGCTTTTCCAAAAAAGGACAAAACATTTCATATTGTCCATTCCTCGTGGCCTGGCTTTACTCTGACTCCATCTCTCTCTCCCTCTCTTATATTGTCTCGGCAGGTGCTGGCCTGGATGGAGTTGAAGAAATTAAGCGTCACCCTTTCTTTGTTACTATAGACTGGAATGTAAGTAGAGCAGTATTGTTTCTAATTGTACTATGGGATTTGGTAGAATTAGTGAATACCAGCTGGAAACTGGATCTGTCATGTAAAAAAAACAAAAGAAAAGCTTACTTGAATGAAATCTGCAATACATGACCTGAGAGTTAAAACCTTTTGATTGGCATCCATGTTTCTCTTTTAACACCAAAGAAAATGAAGGTACATTCAGCATCCACCGCTTTTTCAAACTTCTTGTTTATATTTTGTTTAATCAGCTGGCTCATTATGATACAATTTGAATCTCTTCCCAGAGGTCCACAGAATAATTACTACATTGCACTCTGAAGAACTTAATGCCCCAAACCAAGGAGCTGGAGTATAATGGAGCAGCTCTAAATAAAGAATTCCTGCGCCATTTCGTATTGAAAGCAAAACAAAGCTTATGGTCTTCATTTGGAAAAAGGCACTGCTGGAGAAAGCTCTCTGTTGATCTGCGTCTTTCTATCTATGTGTTTATATATCCCCAGTAAAATTATTAGGCCCATGTCTGTAGGCCTGCTGAGCTGTGTTTAGTACAGAACCAGAGACAAAAAGATGGCTATATGCCACCTTTGTGTTTTGCAAAGCCAGAGGCTGCCAGGAACCAGTTTACGTCCAGGGTAATTTAGAGCAGCCTTGGGACTATCCTAATTTATGGCTACTAATAGCAGCCTCAAGGGACAGTGTGGGCTGACAGAGATTGCAAAGCACAAAAGTGCTCTAGTTATGTCACAGCCTTTCTTGTACATCCCTCTGCTAAGAAGGCAGGCAGGGTGCTTTTTAAGAGCTGTTGTAGGTGGCTGGACAGCTCCTGAAGTATCCTATGCTGTAAGAACATTCAGTCATCCAGTAGCTTTCTTACTCCTTTTTGTCACTATAGGCACAACTCATCCAAAGCCCAGGCTAAGGACTCATCCTTACATATTGTGATGAGAACTATAGAAAAGCATAAAGTAGCTCAGTGTGTAAAGACTAGATTCTTCATTATAGAGCATGCAGTTCAGCCATCCAGAGCAGGAAGCAGCAGCTTTCCATCTAAATGGTGACTGCCTACTGAGGTGACAGACTAATTTTGTTTCAACATTTGAAATTGGCACAGCAGACATTTTAACAAAAGTAACACTGTGCAAATAAGAAGTGTTTAACATGACGCAGGAGACAGTAGGCAATAGTTTGTCTTACTGCAGTCAGTTACATCTTATAGACTAAGTACAGATGGTCAAATAGCCTGAGGCTGAATTGATCCAATCTTCTCACATTAGTCTAATCTGCATAGATAGAACCAATAAGCAAGTGAACAGACATTCACTTTTGATTCCAGAAATGCAGCCACATGCCTGCAGTGGCCCAGGCCAGAAGCTAGGGGGTGCTAGAGCATGCTCCCTGCTTTGCTGGAACAGACAGCTTGGACCAAGGCTAGCCTGGCCACCTTGCAAGGGGGAGGGAGTAGAGGGGGGAGGTGCAAAACATCCTGGGATGCTGGAGAACTGTGAGTTAACTTGAATACAGAGGGGATCTGGGACAGAAGTTCAATAAACCAATTTAATTAAATCAGTTAAGTCTGATACTACCTCTATGCAGGTTTATCTTAAACCAGTTTAACCCATTTTGAAAGCAGCTTATGTGCACTGAACTTCTGTTATGTTACAAATTTGAACTGGTTTCCAATTACTTATAACAATTTATGTGTAATCTCTGTCCCTAGCCATAATGATTTCACATCATAATTCAGGTAAACACCTGATTCAAACTTCTAACAGGTTTAAAATGAGCCTCTGGTGTAGTTTCCGATTTGGAACTACCACTAATACAAATTCAGGTTTTATTCAAAGGTACAAACTTTTAGGTAACAATAAATGTATAGACTTTTCTTGTTCTTCCTGGGTCTCTGGTTCTTGGACTTTTCTGCTGGCCAGATCCTTTAAAATTCACTAATCTCATTTTATCTGATGTCTTTTATGGTATTTCTGTGGCACCAGTCACTCTAGTATTAACATTGTATTCACTGGACATGTGACATGAAGCAAGTCACATGGCTACTATTGTAACTTCTGTTTGAGGGAAAACAGTGTGAATGTACCTGAACCAGTCAGATTCTAACCTTTTTCCCTGGCTTCATAAAGAAGTTAATCCCTTAGAAAACACTGAGTTCATTTGAACCCATATCATTTCAAACTACAGGCAGTGTATGTCCATGAAAGCATGCTTTATACCCTCAAAGCTCAGGAACCAGCTTTGAACTGAACTCAGAGGAGTTGGCACATCACCTGGTAGTGTGCTAGGAGATGATAAAATGATTTTCACTTTCAACCCAGCTGATTGTCCTCCCATTTCTCCAAGCATTACATTCTCGAATTCTCTCTCTATTTCCAGTTTTTACTAATATTTACATTTCAGGTTGATCTTTCCATATTTAAATAGTAAGGCCCAGGGATGAAGAGGTTTAGGAAATAAGTCTTCATCTCCCACTTCAAAGAAAAGTATCCTAGTCTCAGGACATGGGGTAGGCAAGGTCAAGTACATCCTCCTTCCCTCCTGTTGGAGATGGTCCACTGGACAACCAAGAGGAAAAGAGATGTAGGGCTGGAAAAGACCAAGCCAGAGGCATCCTTGCCTTGTAGTTCAGGGTGATGGGCATGGCCAGAGAGGGCATCCTGGGGTCTGGCCCCTACACTCAATGTTGAGTATGTGATTTGCATTGAGTTAGTCATTGGATAAAATGGATAAATAGCAATGAGAGCAGGGCAGTACCCAATACTGACTTATTCTCCTTTGGCTCCACATAGCTTTTCCTCCTGGCTGCCCAATGGGCCACCTTTAACAGTAAGGGTAGAGGGTACTCTTCATCCTGCTCTCTGGTAGTTAGGACACTTCCTTGGGAGCTAGGAGAAAGATCAGGCCCTGCTCCAGCTGGCATAGCGACCCTCAGATGCATTGTGACTGCATTAGCTACAGTGCGCTTGGGAACTGCTCAGTTCTAACCACACTGTAGGGCTCAGATAAATCACTCCAATCCAATGTGATTAATGTTTAGAGTGCACCTGTAGGATGGGTAAGTGTCATAAAACACCAATGCATTAACCTGGGCTATATTTACAGAATTTTCTCTGTACCTATCCAGCCTTAATTTGACATCACTTAAGCCCTTTTTCTAAACAGCAGACGTTCAGGTGGACTGTGTTCATTTCAAAATGGCTTGAGTCAGCATGAGCTTGGCAGTAAAAGCCAGGCCTTTATGTCTAAATAAAAAGATGCATCCAGCTGTTAACAAGCCCTCCATAGACTGAAAGAGACCGAACTGGGCAGTAGGAATGCATCAGAACAGATGTGTAGTACTAATTTTCTATGAAATGCTTGACATCAGCTTGCAGGCTGTTAGCAAAGATCAACACTTGTGAGCCAGAATGTGAATACTGGCATTTTTTTACAGCTAAAATCATTAAGATCATCAATAGGCAAGGGGCAAAGTGTCTCTTGGATTGCCTGTCCCCTTGAAAGTACTGTGGCAGCTGTGGTTGACAAGGGACACCAAAGCTGACAGTCAGAAGCTTTCAGGGACTGTTGGGAAATCATTTTCTGCCAGTAGTCCTCTGGATGGATCACACTTATTGCCAGCGATCAGACTGAGTGAGACTCTTCTGATTGTCTCAGTGTAAGAGAATTTTTTTTTAACCAGCCTTTACCCAATGCAGCAGTTATTTGATGACTGGGGAAGCAACCACCAAATGTAATTCTAATGGGAAAGGAGACTCAAAACTGAATATAGAGTTAGTTTCTCCCTCCAAATATGTACAGGATGCCTAGATGCCTAATGGACTCCTTGAAAATGCAGATAGATCAACAGACCAATGAATAGCTGAGATGTCTGTTTCACAAAGATACCTATCAAAGTTGAGTTAGGTTATGTTAGTGGAGGTCTCAGTCTCTGGACCACATATCTTCCTCTTGGGATAATCACTTCTCATGTGTTTTTTCCATCTTGCTCTCTCTCTGAACAGTCACACACACAGCATGTTCCAGACAGTCTGTCTGATGTAAATGAGGCAGCCAGCAAAATGAATAGCTATGTGCAGTGTAAGGAAAGAGCCTTGCTGTGCCGGCACTTCAAGTCTACCAAATACAGCATCCGTGATGCAGAGTCAGCATGTAAAAAAGGAAAAAAGAAAAAATAAGCGTGATCCTGGAATGCATAGGCATTGCCGAGGTTAAATGCCTCCTTGCTGCCCATACACACCATCCCAACGTCTCAGTCTCCAAGGAAAGCACTGATTAAAGATACTCATATGTGCTTCAGATTAAGACACACTGAAATAGATTCCTTGCCTTGATCAGTAAGCAAAAGGAATGGAAACTTTCCCTTAAATCATTTGGTAGCATTAGCAGAACCAGTCCCTTGGCTTTCTCTTTTACCCCTGAAATACAAGCTACAAGGAGGGTTGGAAGGCACATTGTGAAATCAGGGAGAAGGAGTAGCCAAAATGCAGTGCAGCTGGGAGCTATCTCCAGCCATGCAGGATCCTTAAAGAGCCATATTACAGATGATACCATTCAAACATCCCACAGGCTGATCTAACATGCACCAGGACTGGGGCAGGGACAGCAGACTGGAGAGCTGTAAGCCTTGCTCTGCTGCACCTAGCAGAAGCTGAACGCTGCAGAGAATCTACTTCTGTATCAAGGGCCATCAGGGAATAATGGCCAGGAGGAACAGTATATGCTTCCAAGTACCACTCCAATCAGCCCCTTGAAAACTGAGGAACATCCCCATGGATGAATGAAGTCAGCTGCTTTCCTGGTGCTACCTGAGATGAGTTTATACATCAGGTGGTCATCTTCCAAGTAGGGGCAATTTGAGAGTATTAAATGTATGTGGGAGGCCAAGAGAAACCTGGTTGCTGTGCATGTGTCCTCAGCCAGTGGGCACACAGGCAGGCAGGTTGGGTTTTGATATCTACCACTTCTCCCTCAAAAATCACACTGTACTT